AAAAAACTATTTATTCTTGACATCGATATCACAGTAAAGTTATATGAATTCTGCTTAAACTATTGATCATGACAGAAATTTATTGTTAATTATAATAGATTTGAATAGTGAAGCTTTTACTTATCACTTCTTCCCTTAAAAAATTAACACATTCACATAGCTTATATATGAGTTAGGCATGTAAGTACTATTGTTCCACAATAAGACTCTATGCTCCGCATATTCTATCCACTACTTCTATACTTTTTTGTATGTCTTACAATATAGATATGAATAATGATTGCATTCGTCACAAACCTTACACCCGTGCTTCTATCCTCTAAAGGTATACTACTTTTCAAAGTAAATTTGGCTATCTTTATATACAGGTAGATTATTCAGATTTTTTATTGTAATATATTATTAAATAATGATAAGTACACTAAGCCAAATCGGTCAATTAGATCATGACATATTAATTTTTTGCATATGAATTTTGCTACTTATCATTTTTTGTGCCCATATCATAAATTATACATAGAGTCATAACATTAATACAGGTTGTCCAATAAGTCTTAAATAAATTATATATGATAAGACTGGTAGGGTTATAATTTTGTTTTGCAAGCGAATTTTTGTAACCAAATTGATCTTTTTATCTTTTAAGAGATTCTACACAATAAAAAACTACGTAATTTTTGAAATTATTAATATACACTGTTAAAATAATTTTTTTAATAATTTGGCATTTTATATATCTTGGCTATTTAGTTTCATTGACCGATTGGTCAACCAAAGTCACGTGATTGTGGCACAGTAAAGACGATTTATTCAAACTCCTCTTCTATAGCATCTATTTCATCACAACTTAATTTAGAAATTCTCAATGCCGAATAAGTTCTTACCTGCTGTATTTTATCCTCACCTATGCTACTAAAAAGGTCATAAATTTTTCTTGCTCTTTCTATTCTTTTCTTAATTGCATTTTTTGAGAAGTTAGATGGGAGCTGTTTTTCAACTTCTTCATAAAGTTTTCTCTGAGATCTATACTCTTTATTAGC